CAAATAACAACCGTAAGAACAGCAATGTTTTATTTTGAATATAAATAATTATTATAGCAACAAATATTAAAAATTTTAGATCATCTGTAGTCATAATGAAATAACATTAAACTAAACGTTTATTCATAGTTAATAAAAACAATCTGCTGAATTCATTTTTATTTGATTTATTCAGGCTTATATTATCATACGATGACTGAATTTCGCATAAAAAAACATTAGGCAGATAAAATGTTCTGCTGACTGCATTATTGCGTTTATCTGCATTTAGCCTGTGATGGTTTATCTTTCAATGACGAATAGATGCCCAAATTGCATGCTAATTCACTTTCTCCATTCTGAATTGTCTTTAGTGAGATTAAAAATAAACAACTGCTTGACATCATTCGTGCATATTTTTTATCTCAGGTTTGCGTTTCATGACCAGCATAATCATCGAAGACTGAACTTCAGTAATCATTCTTTTAATGATAGGATTTTGTTGCATCCGAAGACATGATATTTGTAAATTTACACTTTTTGCATATTTTTATTTCCGAAAGTGAAAGTTATAAATTTTAAAACAGATTAATTTTTAAACATATTTTTAGTTCCATTTTAGTGTTCGTCATATTTTTATGGCCTTTACATATTTCAATTCAGTATATATATTGTATCAATGTATTCAGTACATATATTTTTTGTATCAATGTATTCAGTATATATATTGTATCAATGTATTCAGTATATATATTTGTATCAATGTATTCAGTATATATATTTTGTATCAATGTATTCAGTATATATATCGTAACAAGTAAAATTTTATATTTCAAATGACACAGAGATACCACCCTGAATACTGAAATAGTAGAGGTTATGATCATTGATGGGTTGGTTAGTGGTACTTATTACCTATGTCGACAAAAAGAACTGTATATTATCACACGTGTCCATTTTCTCCCATTATCATTTGAGTATATCCCTGGGAATATATTCCGAGATTCTTATACCTCTCTTATCAAATAAAGAGCTACGTAAGAGGAATTTTAGTTTAGTTTTATTTATGTGATTAAGGCAAAGCTTCGACGGCTATCTGCCTAAGGGAAGGGATGCCTTCGTAGAGGACGTTCTAATGGAAAGAGGCTCGTATACACCTTACACATGGAGAAAACCTTGAAAACGATCGTGCAGCTAGCCAGTTTGCGGCATTCGAACCTGGCACCGAGCTACCAGTGTTCAGCGACTTTATTGCTAGGCCGCTGGTAGGCCTGACAGGATTTTCAGACCGACAGCTTTATTCCGCTCTTAGTTAAATACTTTGCTTGGCTTATCAATGATTTATAAGCTATGACTACTTTTTCATTCAAGTTTGCTTAAAATATTTCAAGATGCAAGTTTCAAACTGAGTATTAGATTGGACATTCAGCTAATCTGTCAGCCATTTTAAGAAATTTAACCTCTGCACCTTCCGGTATTCCTAAAAAAAAAAGGATTTAAGTAGAAACTATCTTGCAAAAGTTCTTGAATTACTTTTGAATTATTAATTTACTTTTGTAAGGGATTAAATTCAATTCAAAGTAAACGTTTCTGAGATAGTTCAAACTTGTTTAAAAGCGTTTTATTACTATAATTAGATTTTATTTCAACTAATTTAAATTGTGTTGTATAATGTGTAACGTTGCGCGCCTCCAACTTGCACGCAACCAAGGGGTGACTGTGAAAACAGGATAAAACACAGAGTCTTGTAAAGAGTTTAAGTCCCTTTTTATTCAACGTAATAAATTACAATTGCGTGCTCTTGACGCTTACAGACGGCGCCAACTCGGCAGTTAAATAAAAATAATAACCTGAAAAGAAACTAAAGACAAGACTCTAACTACGAGGCTCTCTAAAATAACTAACTCACCGCGTTTTACAACACCGCTACTAATTCAGCAGACTTGAAGCTCACTTGAACGATTACACTACTTCCCGCCAAGCAACATAGGCCGAAACGCGGGGTTCTTCAATTCTCGCTAAACTACCTCCGCGCTCGTGAAGTAAGAATATCACACGCCGAACTCGTTTCCTTCCTATTTAAATCATAATACTTCCGCTGATAATTTGAATCCTTGCGCGTTCTACTCAAATTTACATATTCTGGCATTGGCAGTTCCAGGGGAAAGTAAGGCTTGACAGGAAAGATAGTTTAAACTTAAAATAAATGTTAGTTAAAATAAATATAAACCCTACAAATGTTTAAAAAAACGAAAAGACATTTACTCAAATACAGTGTAATTTGGTGATTTGAAAAAGAATTTCCCTCTTAATTGATACTCAGTTATGCTTTACTTTTTAAGAAAGATGACTATTTCAACTTATAAAATTATAATATCTAAGGACATTTCAAGTTGTTTTTGACTTGAACTGCATATTCCATCAGAAAATGTAATAACTATTTTAAAAAATTGCTTATCGAAAAGCATATATAATTTCTGGAATTCGTTGTAATTTATACACACAAGAAGAGACTAATATGCACAATATTTAATAAACAGAAAGCTTTCGTTATCAGTTGTTCTAGAGAAACTCTCTGTCTACATAAATTTGATACCACCGAATTGTACAATGGATACTTAAAAATTGTTGCGTCATGTTGTTTTACTGCCTGCTACTCGCGGACTTTTGTTTGTACTGATAAGTGGTCCTTATATGTTTCAATTCAAGTATAATAAAAATGCTTATTTAAAACCTTCGAAGGAATTTGTCGTATTTCAAGAAACGAACCGATGACTCGCTTTTCAGCCTATAGGATCTGAACAGCATTTTCATTAACATTACACAGTTATTACCCTATATGAGTAGTTCTGCATTTTGACTTTGAAATTTTTTAGAAATGTCTAACTAAACCAGATAACCACTGAAAATGAAAAATACAGTTTTTGGCTAATTTATACGTAGGTCATGACACACCTAATCAAAGATTAACAGGCTGAAGAAACCGAAGGGTAGCTGATCTAAGGATAAAAAAAGAGAAGCTTATAAGTTTATTCGTATGCTAAACGTTTTGGAGGCAAATTGTTACGTTTTAGAGCCTAGTCTTAGTTTACAATGCCGCAAACTTATAGTTAATGCAAATTTGGGTTAATATTAAACTATTACGTATTTAAGATTTCATTCTTTTATATTTCAAATTTCAGGTAGCTGTAGTTTTCTTATTGTTGTTAATAATTTAATTTTTATTCATTAATATTGTTACTGAGAGATTACGGTTAGGTTAGGTAAGGTTATTCGAGTACGGCAAAGCACATAAGAGCTCTCTATGAGAGCACGGATGCCTTCATGGGAGAATTTAAGGGAAACTAGCTCATATTCATATTACACCTGAGAAAAACCACAAAATCCCACCATGCAACAGCCCATTCATTTAGGATCGAACTCCCGGTATTCAGCGGTTCTAACCACTCGGTCATAGTGAGACCCCTGAAGAAGTACAAAGGATATTAATTCTTAATCCCTTAACTTAAATCCTAAGCTTCCCATAAATTGAATTCAAATTACATTAATTCTTAATAAAATTTCAATAATAAACAACTTATTATTCATATTAAAATGAAGAATCAGAACAGTATTTCTCTTTGCAAATGTGAATTGCTATTGCTGAAACACGCAGCAAAGTAACATTTACAGATTAAGCAATCACTTCAATAAATTGAAAAATTAGTAGATTTAAAATGTGATTTAAAACCATCAATAATTTTCATTTGAAATGAACACACGATTAGGATTAATTTTTTTTACAGTTTAAAAGTTTAATTAATTTGGATTTCCGCTCTCATCTGTTACATATATACATTTAAACGTTTTTAACAGGACACCTAACAACATATCTTTGAATAAACAAAAAAGATAAAAGTAAAAGTTTTTTTCAAACCAAATTAAGATAAATAAATAGTTTGTTGCATGCCGAAGTGATTACATCTCTTTCTCCAGATATTCAAGAATATGCACTAAATTTATCTTTGGTAAAACAATAATCAACCTGAACAACGATTCACGTTGTATTCTTCTAATAATATTAGAATGCTAAATTTTCTCAAGTGTCTTCGGAACATGTCTTATGCTACTATAACCAGTATTACAGGCATTATGTTACTATAAAATATTAAAAGTATAAATATTTCCGCAATCATCCCCTGCTGTCGCTTTAGGTGGTAATATATTACTGTGAACTTCTGTTCACCGATGGTAAATATTCTGTCTCTTTTGCAGTTATGGTAGGGACAAAGAGCGCGTAATATATGCAAGAGCTATTTTAGCTGTAAGTTCTTTATGTTTGTAATTTAAATTTAGGATATAAAGTGGTTTTGAAAAGTCTTTTTTTTTATTTAAGTCCATCATGTTTGTAATTTAAATTTAAGATATAAAGTGGTTTTAATAATTCTTTTTTTTATCCATGAAATACCATTTTGCAAGAGGTATTTTTAAAACACAAGAAAGAATCTAATATAAACTCCTTACAGAATTTAATACATCTTCTATCCTGGCAACTACAAAGGTTGACTCTCAATACATGATGATGAGGAATATAAATTTCGAAAATGTTTTTTGAATTCAATAAATTTTTACTCAAATGTTTTAAAGAAAAGATTCACTTTATAACTTTTATGCATATACTCGTAGATTAATTCCTTTGAAACATGCGTGTGATTATTGTAAAAGTTAATAATTAGCTTTTGCTAGCAGAACAATATAATTCTAAATAGTTTACGAAAAACATCATTTATCAGAATCAAAGAAGCTGATAAATTTGAGACAGGTATATTGAAGTTTGCGAAAATTCACGTGCTGCACGAATTATGTCACAAACAATCATGAGATCTAAAACCAGACTTCTGTCTGGTTTTAGTATAGTATGATAAGCTAGATAGTGTATACAGTATGATAAGCTAGATAATAATCAATGATAACACTTTATTTCAAGAATTTTGTTTCCGCGTGTCATCTTGATATTAATATACGCATGACAATACTTCTATATACTATAAGAGATTTTAGATCCTATATATACCGCTAAATTCGTCAGTTTTTCATCCGTTATCCACTATCCTTTCTTCGTAAGGTAACCAACGGCTAAACAGATATTTTAGGTGTTACTGATTCATCTCAAAGTAAGTAAAAAAAATCTGTTTGATATATTTACCAGTTCTATTGATATATTTTGTAGTACTTCGTTTTGATCCTTCTTCTTTTTGTCGTAAATGCGTTTTAAAAGTGAAAGTTTTTTACCGCTAATTAGACGCAATTTTCTTTTTTCTGGTTCCGTGATGTAGAATTCCATTTTCTTCCATTCTGAGCTACAGTTTAAAAGCCTAACCGTTATTCTGCAAATTTTATTAAAAGAAACGCTGCCTATTTCATTGAATTCAAAATAATGAATATCTATTAATCTATATTTTATAGAATCATGTATTCAAATTCGAATTTAACATAGATAACAAATAGAACTCAATTTTAAATTAACTGAATAATCACGTCTTAATCAAGCGATTAGAAAGATAAAAATTATTAAAAAGTTATACAAAAACCTATCAAGCAATCTAATCCATTTTTAATTGAAATTATACTTATTTCTTGTTTAACAAACTAATTAACTTAGGCATGATTAGATAAAAAAGAAAACTTTGTGAATTTCATAACATTGAATTTTATCACAATAATGCAAATCTGCATTAGAAAGAATCCCTACAACCCTGTAATGCTCAGGCAAATTTACTCATATATAAAATTAAGCTTTAAAATTTTATTGAAATTTATCTTTTGAATTCATAGTTAGTTAAGGTACAGTATGGTGTATTTTTCATGTATTTAGCATAATAACATTGTAAAGCATAGGGAAATACAATAACTAACAGTAATAGATATATTTTTTTGTATGGAAAAGTGCGAAACATTGATGAAAAATAGTTGAGCTTTAGAGGAAAAGAGCTACTGAGCTATTTCAGTGTCAAGTTATGAACTGAAATTCAAAATAATAATAAAAATACCTAATTTTTTAATACTTTTGAATGACTTTATGTCTTTTTCTGTTTAAACTATTTGTCTCAAAGATTAAAATATACAGATGACAGTTCCAAAATATATTTTATGTTATTCTGGAATATGGCTAATAAAATATTTTCATAGAACATTGCTAAAATCTGCTGCTTGTAGAATCAAAGCTAAAAATCTGCACTCGATAATGACTGAGGTTTTCTAGAGTTAATAATTCTGGAAGATTTGTTTATCTCTGAAAGAGAATTATCATTACAATAGTTTTCATCCAGTATCAAGTGAAAGAAACATATTCCTTAATGTAATACATATAATGTTTACACAATTTTAGAAATTTTACTAAATTTACAAGTTTTACAACACTTTAATATTTTCAGATGACAGTTCCAGTTTCTTACTTTGCTGTTCTTGCCATCGTTGTTCTGCAGTCTATGAATGCAGCTACAATATTTGACCCAGATCTGGATATTCACTGGGAAAACTTTAAGGTAAATAGCGTTTATGTATGAAGTTTGGTTAGCATATTTACTAAAATGGTTTGATTTAAAAAAATAAAAAGTAATAAAAAAAAACTGCAAGTGAACCCGAATTAAAAATTGCTGGACGATAATTCGTCACCACCAGAATTTGGCGATTGGATTCTCTCATCCCCAGTCGCCCTTTAAGATTAGGAGTGTATAATGTATTATTTTCCCTTCTCTCCTCATGCCTTCGTGTTGTAACTGGAATCGTGTTCTGGACGTGTATTCGAGAGGTCCAAGATTCGAGTCCCAGCGAAGGCAATGCATATTTTCACGTCTCTTGATTCAAAAATTCTTAATGACTCTACAACTGAATTTTCAGAATTATCACTAACTTTATCGCGCGTTTCTTCATCTAATTCGTATTATTAAATATAAAATGATTCCTAAAAATACGCTTCACACAGTTATATAAGTAATACGCACAAAAGCTTTATAATAATAAATAAGAATAAAGCATTTCCTTTACCACAAGAAAAGGCTCTGTGGAAGATCAACGACTATAATTAATAAAGTATTCGTAAAATCCTGTTTAAAATGTAGAGAAAATTAAAATCTTCGTTATTAAAAATATTATTTTATGCGAGACGTTTTCTTTTAGAAATTCCTCCACGAAGTCATCCATTTTCTTAGGCAAATAGCCCTAATGTGCTTTGCCGTAATAAACTTAAGCAAACCAAATCAGACAACCGGTACAAATTTCCCTCTAAAGAAGAACTTCATTTTTCATGGAAAAGATTTTCCCGTGTCTAACTAGTAGTCCCAAATTGTAGAAAATGCTTTCGATAAAGAGCATCTAAGGCGAGAGTGTTACGGTCACGTGACCTAAACGGATGAAAAAAGTTAAAATATTTATTACATAAGAGCAGCAAAATCAGTAGCTATGTTTTCTTTATTTATATTTATTATATGCAATAATAAGTCATATATAAATAAAAATAATATTTATTAAATAGAATAAACCGTAATTTTATACATAATTTTATCAGGCACTAAAAGCCAAAATTTAATTTTAAGTTTTATGCATTAGTTGGCATATGTTACTGAAAGTGTAAGACATTGAAGTAGATTATCTTCCCTGACATGTGACATGTGAGAAAGGAGGATGTAATAAAAGATGAGAACCACTGTCTTAATATAAAATTAATTTTTTTAGAGAACATTTCAAAAGCAATACAGTGGATCCGAGGAAGGAGCAAGACGACTCATCTTTGAAGGTCATGTCATGACATCGTGGAAACACAATCTGGAATTCGATCTTGGAATTCACAAATACAGAAAAGGACTCAATAAATTTGCTGATTTGGTAAGTACGACTGCGAACATTCTAAAACTTTCACTCATAGAATGACAGTAGACAATGAAGAGTGAACCAATAAAGTGAGCACTGAGTTTACCAAACGTTAATAACTCTGAAATAATATTTCTGCAAATGTCTTATTTGTCTTATTTGTGACTCTTAGTGTTTTTTTTTCAAACGCAATTGGCTTTTTTTTATTACACGGTATTTAAAACTTTAAAACTGCCAGGATATCAAAACTTGAATAATAAGGAATAATTTCAGGAAGAAATGCAATCTATGCAATTTTACTACGTTTTCACTTGAAAATTTCTTTTCCATAGATATTTATATTAATGACATTTCTCCAATACTTAGTTTACCATGTTAAGCCATGAGAACAAAACAGAGCTTTTTAAATTATTTTTATTTATTTACTGGCGATAATAAGCAATTTAAATGGAACTTCAACACATGAATTAATAGTATGAAAAACATTCATTACAATATTTAAATGTAAATAATAAATGTTCATTTATGTAAAGGAGAATATGGTTCACATATTCAAGAAAATATTTCTCAGATGAATGCAGGTACAAGTTATTAAGAAAGCAAGCAAATAGATTCATAACCAGAAAAAAATTCTGATATATTAAGAGGAGTTACGGAAAAAAATGGAATCTTCAGACAACTTATAAATCTTAATATCAAAGTTAAAAAATTTGTTGATGAGTTAATTATTGTAGATATTGCCAAATACCTTCTTTCTGAAGTTGAAAATTAGTCGAATATAAACAAATTACATATATGCCAATACCATAAAATTTCATTAGCCAACTTAAAATTTGCTGGATGCGTGAAAGAATATGCCTGGAATGATAGATACAAAGATGCCGATAACCTCGTTAAAAAGCGGTTACTAAACCCAATTCAGAAGTTGTAAACAATGTCCAAAGCATATGTAGAAAACAAAGCAGTCAAAAAACAAGAATGAATGAAAATCTGATACCCAGGTCAGAAGAACTTATGAATTAATTAATTATAATAACGGAATAAAATGTCTCATTAATCTACGTTTAAATCAATTGGTATCTGGACACGACACCTTCACCACCTACATGAGGGAAAAACCTCTTCCTTAGACAACTACGTTTGGAGCGAAAGGAGCAGAGGTGCTTGCGCGAAATAGTACCATCTTTTCTCATGTTCGTTACTACAAGCACATCACAGCATTAGACAAACTACGAAGGAACTCGAATGTCAAACATATTTTATTAATGCTATGAGCTCCATTATAATATTAATAGTATTGTGAAGTACAAGTCTTGGCCTTGTTTTGAAGTGCCTTTCAGAACAAGATCAAGACATATGGGGGCAAAAACTATTGCGGAACTAATTCTTAATTTACTAGGTGCACCCTTCAAAATGGTTACTATATGAAAATGATTTAGAAGGATAGTAGGAAGCCGCTTTTGGATGTGTTATGTAATCAATAGCATCACGTAACCAGTACCTCTGTCAATATATGGTAACGTACTGGTTTGCCATTTGCTTATCCCTGACCTGGCTTGTTAATAGAAATTAAGAATAATTGTCATTAGATAATGTTTCATATTTATACATTTTCAATTTTCATTAAATTTCAAATTTCATTTTATTCTCTATAGAGCTATGAAGATTTTTAAAACGTGAATGGATTCAAAGAAAAACCTGAACAAATCAGTTACCAATTTAATTCCCCCCTTCTACATTGATTACCAGACACAGTAGACTGGAGGCAACACGGCCTTGTTACTGGAGTTAAAGATCAGGTCAGTTTTACTTATTAAAAGATGATGTCATATATCATGTGTTAAAAAAACAATTCCACTATGATATCAAATAAAAGTATTACGCTAGAAAGATTTAAAATTATTTAAATGTAGGGACTATGGGATCTTGCTGGGCTTTCTCTACGACTGGATCATTAGAAGGACAACATAAAAAGAAAACCGGAAAACTTGTTTCCTTGAGTGAGCAGAACCTTGTGGATTGCTCTAGACCTGAAGGTATGAATTTCAATCAATTTTTGAGGGATCATCTATTAAATGTTTGGCTAGAAGGCAAAATAACATGTATGCTGTTGAAACTAAAGGAAATTTTGTATAATTCTCAAGGATAAAATCTATTAGAGTAAAATGCAGCTATTAATCTCAAGGATTTAATCTTAAAATGCATAATTTTTAATACGTTTCTGAAAATACGTGTTCGAGTAACACAGAGATGCTCACAATTAGAATCTTTAACATACATATATTTTTAATATCTCAGGAAACATTTTAAGATATATATGTTGATTTGTGTATGAAAATAAGTAAATACCTCACTGAAAGAAACCATTGCTATGAATATTTTTTAATTTCACTTACTATAACGAAACATTTTTTTTTGCCTTCATTGTTGCAGTTTAAAGAGCTACTGCAATTTGTCATAAACTGAATTGAAATGAGGAATACGGAATTATACATAATTTTGTAAAATATGTAAACAAAAATTGATAACAGTGCAGCCGATGCTGAATTTTACAATACTGAACTACAGACAAATTCCCCAAAATTTTTTACATATCAGCATATTCTCAGTATGTCGTAGCTCATTCATATGGTGTACTTTCATGCGCTTATATTTATTATATTCGCATACATGCCATAATTTCGAAATCGAGCAGATCCATTTCACATTTTTCACACACGTATGAATAATCCTCTACTTTCTCTTTGCAAATAAAATACCAATATTTTATGTTTATATACAATTTATGTGTTTTTAAATAAAATTAATGTTACAGGTAACGAGGGTTGTGAAGGAGGCTTAATGGATGAAGGATTTGAATACATTAAGGAAAATGGCGGCATTGATACAGAAGAGTCTTACCCATACACTGCTAGGGTGAGAAGTGATTAGTTACTCGTACATGTAAAGAATTGCATATACAAATATTTTCAAGTTATTTTAGAGGAAAACAAGTAAATTAATTTTAATAATCATCAAATTCTTTCCTTCCATCTAGTATTTTCTTCAATATTATCTATAGTTTATAGAAATTTACACAGAATGTTTCATATAAATTAAAGTAATGCAAAAAGGTATCTGAAATTGTTTTTAGTTTTAAGGAAATAAATTAAAGTACTTCTTTCAAACAATAGCGATACGTTAGCTAGCTTAATTAGTTTTTAAACATAGAAATATATGTATATATTGATTAAATTAAAAACCAAATGGTTGAAGGACTTTGAATAAAGAATTCAGTGCTTTTGCGGCTAAGATTATATAGATATCTTTAATATTTTAATTTAATTACTATCCACTAGGAACGTTATTCCAATGTATTGTAACTTAAATAAAGTCAATTGAATTAATATGCAACTAAACGCATTAAGAAATCCGGAAAAAACGTCAAACTGGGCTGATGAATAGTAACCTTTAAAAATGTTATTAATGTTTACTTGATCATTCAAACTTTGATCCATACTTTTGACAGAGATTAGATAATGCATTTTATAGACTCAGTAACATTTCAACGCTATGTTGCGAGTGTAAAAGCAATACTTGCATGTTTATGCTGGCGGTAAATTTAAATTAGAAATTTTTTTATCTTAGTTTTTTAAGCTGGTAAAAGCGAGTTCTCTTTAATTGGGCCATTGTAAGTAGATGACTACTTGCACACTTTTAAATTTTTCCCTTTTTAATTAATTATTATTTTTTGCTTATTTCACATGAATCATTCTTAAGAAATATTTTTCAGCTATCACATTAAGTTAAAATGTTTCTTTAATTCTTGAAGGATGGAACTTGCCATTTTAAGAAAAAGTAGCGTAGGAGCAACCTGTACTGGATATGTTGATATTCCAACAGGTGATGAAAAGGCCTTGCAGAAAGCTCTTGCAACTGTTGGACCGAATTTCCGTCGCTATTGATGCTAGTCTGTATCCAAGTTTCCAACTGTATAGGTAAGCTACTCCTTTTCTTATTCAAACATTTAGTATTTTCTTTGTTACGGGCTAAGTGCTTCCCTGATGAGTACTGAGGTTAGTGACGCTGAATGTGGTTAGTGGCTGATTGTTGTGCCTGTGGGCCTAATCTCGAATCACGAAGAAGGCACTGACGCTTGTAAATGTATATCTGACGCTTGTAAATGTATATTGTCTGTGCAGCATCGAGAAACCCAAAATACTGGCGAGCCTAAAAGTCTTTTCGAGTGGTTTGGTGATAGGAAGAGAGAGGACTGGAGACACTCGGGAAACTGTCTCAGAGATGCTTTCGATCAAATTTGGGGCGAATATGCACAGCTAAGTCAACTGAGACAATGTCTGCACAGCCAATGATGAAATTCTTTTGTCCCGCCCATTTGTAACGTCACCTGTTACGGACTACGTATGAGCTGCCATCTAAGGACAAGGAGACTTTTTGTTCTCCTCCCTTCCCAGCAAAGCCTATATGATTACTATACTGCTATTTCGTTTTTCTTTTTTTCCCCTAAGCAATAACTTTCTGCTAAGGCGACGCTAACAACCAAACTTCGTACACTTCTGACTCAATGTGACTAAAAGGCACCCACCGCAAGTTCTTTCGATGTTTCATCACCCCAGGTTTGATTTTAATGACTGACGCCTACTTTTCAACTTCCCATTGCTTTAACTTTTAAAACCATTGCGATGGACATCCATACATTTCTGAAATGTTCTGCATTTCTTTATTTGCTACTTATGGACTTAAACATTTTACATTTAGTATTTCTCATCGTTTTGCTTCTTAAGGACTTGACCCACTCTCTACTTTGCATATCGTTTCAATAATGCTATAATAAGTATAGCATTATTGAAACGATAAAGCAATGTAACATAATGAATGAACTTAATTAGATATACTAAGATAAAGCTTCGTACCCAAGTCTTGTGGTCTACGGAC